CTGGCCTGGTATAGACATAGTATGTAGTCAGTCAGCAGATGTTGAGCATCAACCATAAGCCAAGTACAACTCCAGGACCCTCTGATACCCTCAAGGATAAACCTGATCCTGTCTCCAATGGAGAGGTACTAGAACCACAAGATAGAATTGATCATATAGTGAGGGCTGGGAGGACCTCTGTTCCCAGAGCATGAATTTTTCTGGTGTCATGATTCCCATGGGAAAGCTGAGGCTTGAAGTATGCCAGGCTCAGGGAAGGTACGGTCCACATAGCTGGTTTCTTTACTGAGATGAGAGCCCTCCAGGGAGGAGCACCAACCTACCGGTGGAGCATGGTAGAAGAGGGCACCACAGAGAAAAGACATACCACAAAAGGACAAGACTGTTCAATCCTTCCCAAATTTCCTATCCCAAAGACCAGAATGTGTGGCAGAACCAGAGTGGACTTGGACAGCATTGGCTTTGACTGGGGCCACTGTGACTTGCTTGCTGTGAGATGAGAGGCAAGCTGCCTTACCCTTTCTAAGAATGTGCAAGGGAAGGACCATGAATTCGGATGGTGTTCTGTTGAGTTGGAAGTAACTTTGGAATTGACGATAGAAGGGAAGGGTCCAGGAGAAACATGGACAAGGAGGGCTGAAGCTCTGGCAAGAGGTTTGTGCTTGGGAGAAGGATTCTGGAGTTAATTGATGTGTGTGTTTCTTGCAGTCACACTCAAAGAGAAGATGTAGAGAGAAGAGTAGAGGAGGGGTAAAGAAGGAACCACCTTGAACCTAACAGCTCTGAGACCTGCATTTGCTCCTCTGTGCTCCTCTAACCTTCTATTATAGCTCCCACAAGTTTCCCCCCTTGAAATTGTGAACTTTCTAAGCACAGGGCCAGGGTTAAACCACCTTTGCCTCCCTCACATTGATCTCTGTGTTTACTGAGTGAATAAGTGAACCAATGAAGCCTAGAATTCATTTCCTTTGAGAAACAACTGAAGAACCTATAAATGCTATCTTGGAGAAGATTTGGCTCGGGACACCCCCAAAAGGGCTGACTCATGGAAACAGGCAGAACACCGTCATATCAATGTTGGAGGAAAATTATTTCAGTTCAACATGAATGGACTGGGCCATCTGGTGAAGCAGGGAGGTCTTCAGGACTGAGAACTTGTACATGGAGATGGATGATATTCTCCCAGGAAGAGGGCCCTGCATGGCAGCCTAACCACACCTTCAAGAGAGGCATCTCAAAAGTCTAATGTTCCAGTTTGGCACACAGGCAACTCCATCACCTATACCAACTGACTTCAGAAGAGAGGAATGGAGCCCATCCTTAGCACACAAAGATGAGATCTTTGCAGGTGGGGGCTTCATTCTGTGGAACTTCTGGAAAGCCAACTGGTCCAGCCTTTCCCTCATCATTCTGGGGCCTCAGTATCTGGTCACTACCTGACCTGTCTATTACTCATCGGTTCCCTGCCCACCCCTGACCTCCCTTGGGTGTGGATCTGTTAAGAGTAGAGACTAGGCATCATTTGTTCATGAGGCAGTTATGTTCCAATGGTTAGGAGTACAAGTACCATAGTTAAACCACCTTCATTCCCTCATCTGTGATCTGAGACACTCATAGTAAGAATGTAAGGATCAAAGGGTTAATGCACATAACATGCTTAAAACAGTTGTAGCACAGAGTTGGTTCTCAAAAGAAATTAACTTTCTTATAATAAGATCAGTTTCTCCTGTACCTGGCATGGAACATGTAAAAAAAAGTTTTGCTGAATAAAAAATTAATTAGTCAAGCAATTAATAACTAAATATTGATGTTGCAATCACCAACTAGTCAATAAACATTTGTTAATTCCAAATAAGCACCCAATACTATGCTGGGTATAGAAAAAGACAGAAGTAGAAATAAAAATACATGGTTCTTATTTCTAAGAATTTTACAATCTGACGATAAAGAGAAGTATTATTAATTTTTTAAATTAATAAATTTATAACAAAATCTAACAGCTTCAGGAGTGCACTTGCGATGAGTCCTAGGTGGTGTATGGAAGTGATGAATCACTACATTGTACACCTGAAACTAATATTACACTGTATATTAACTAACTGGAATTTAAATAGAATTTTTTTTTTTAAATCTAACACAGCTTTATAAAGTAACACTAGTCCAGGCCCTGCTAGCTTTCAGAGGTTATTTCATTTGATCAAGCTCTAAATTGTGAGGGTCCTGCAATAAATGGTTTAGGACAAAAAGGAGAAATCATGTGGGTTCTCTCAAGGGAAAGACTATTTAAAAGTGCCTTTAATTTTCTTAATAGTCTAAAAGTTTCCCAAGAATGTTCAAAAATACGAAGACGGAGAGGTGAGGGAATAGGGGATAATCTGTGGCAACATAAAGCATGTTGGATTTACACCCTTTATCAATCTAAATTCATTTGTTCCCAACCTTAAAGCTATTAAGCAGGTACAGGTTTTTTCTGGGAAAATCCTGGAGTCAGTCCTCTCTCTGTTCTCCTATGTCATGATCCACAGAGATGCTTCCCTTGCATAGGGAAGGGTTCTACTCTCTGACCTATCAAGGGCCAAGGAGCAAAATGGTGTTCGGCCAGTCACACAGAACGGATCCCTTGCTGTTGGTCATGGGATTCTGTGCAAGTTCACCATCAATGTCCTCCCAAAAGAAAACATAAGCACCATTGATTACCTTCTAATAACCACTTTATTACACATTTTATATTTATAAAAGGGCACTGAGAGAACACTGTTATTATTTCTCTAATCCAAAGCAGATGGTCCTGACAGAGGTAAATGGGTCTTTCTGGGTGTGGCCCTGAAAGTTTGTGTTTTCCCGGAAGGTTTTGAGCCAGGGCCAAACCAGACCCAGAAGTTCCCATCCACCCCTGTCTCAACACATGACTTTCATTAACAAAATTGCATTGCTCTCTTCTGCAAAAAGTGGTACCATTACTCTAATAAAAACATGTCCATTATGGATCAATTGCCACCTACATGATGGTAAGGAGAACTCAGAAGCAAGAGGCCAGGGATTGGTGAGAACAAAGAAGGCCGGTCTTACAGAGGGAAGCTCCAGCCACTCACTGAGCCTCCTTCCCAGGCCTGTGGCTGGACAGGAAGAAGGTGGGTCAAACTTGTACCATTAGCACAATCACCCTAGGTGAATCCCCTAAATGTGGAACTTGGCCCTCAGAAGACTTCGGTTCCAATCCTTACCCCAGCCCGCCCAGCCCACTGAATGCATCTTGTCATTGGAAACCAATACAAACACCCCTTGGCTGCCCATCCTCCACGCCCAATCTCTGGGCTCATCCAGGCTCTCTCACTTTTCTCCTGACTTTGCTTTTTTTGCTCCATTCCAAGAGCTGCCCCTGCAGTCTCCAGGCTCACGCTTACTTTTTCTTTCTTTCTTTTTTTTTTTTTTTAAAGATTTCATTTATTTACTTGACAGAGAGATAGAGAGCACAAGTAGGCAGAGTGGCAGGCAAAGGGAGAGGGAGAAGCAGACTCCTTGCTGAGCAGGGAGCCTGGAATGGGACTCGATCCCAGGACCCTGGGATCATGACCTGAGCTGAAGGCAGCCACCCAACCGACTGAGCCACCCAGGCACCCCTTATTTTTTCAACTTCACTTGGACTTCTTGACTTGGTCATGGCCACAGTATATTCCACCCACTGGCTCTACACACTCCGAGTATCCTCAGGATACGCTGCCTGACCAATAGTGGAAGTGACTTTCTCAAGCCTCTAGGTGCATGAGAATCAGCTAGGGAGAGATGGGAAAACAAATTCCTGAGTCCCATCTTCAGAAATCCCAATTCTATGGGTCTGCAATGGGCTAAGAATCTGCATATCACGGGATGGATTGTTCAAATGGAGGAAGAAGCTGAGATGCTCTTTGGACAGCACAGTCTTCCCTCACAGGCCTCCGCCCAGCAGGCGAAATAATCACTTTTTGTATCTGCTCAACCCTCTGCACTTACACATCCATTCATCCTTCCCACCCCTCTGACTCTCTGTCTCATTAAGGGTACAACCACGTCCATTTGACAGAAGAGGAAAAGGAGGCTTGGAGTGATGATGTGAGACCTCAGATTCCCAGGCCATGGGGCATCTCTGCTGCACATGACTCATAGGTGTCCCAGCCTTGCATACTGACACTGGAGTTCCTAAAGTCTTCTCCATCCCACCAATGGAATCTCCACCCTTAATGTCATTGATCCAGATCTTTGAAGCCATACTTAATCTGCTCATTTATAATCCACAGAAATTGTTTCTGTATATATCCTGTATCAAACATCTCCCACCTCCTTGCTATGCTAGTTCTAACATGATTCTTCTCCTTACCCCTGCCCCAGTGGCTCAGTCAACTCTTGCTGCTGTAACAGAATACCAACACACATTTCTCTCTCACAGTTCTGGAGGCTAAAAGTCCAAATTCAAGGTGCTAGCCAATTTGGTCCCTGGTGGGAGCTCACTTCCTGGCTTGCAGACAGCTGCCTTCTCACTACGTGCTCACACAACAGAGAGAGAGACAGAGAGAGCTTTCTTATCTTTCTTCCTCTTCTCATAAGGACACAGAGTCACTCTTAAGGGCCCCACCCTCACAACCTTACCTAAACCTGATTACTTCTCAAAGGCCCCACCTCCAAATACCATTATGCTGGGGTTTGGGGCTTCAACATATGTACTTGAGGGAAGATACAATTCAGACCAGAACGTTCACTTAGGTCTGTTCTCAACACAGTGCACACAGTGAGTCTCATGACACCTAAATCACATCCAAGCACTCCAGTGACTCGCAGTCACCAGGAGTGCTGAGCTGCCCAGTGTGGTACTCACCAGAAGAGCTGCAGAGATCTGGAGAAGAGTCACAGCGGGAAAGAGCTCTTGCTGGAAGTGGCTCCTCGCTGGGCCTCAGAGGAGACACTGGAAAGCCAGGGAATGGGAGAGCCACTAGCGTGGACCACAGCAGGGCCATTTGGGGAAGTGAGTTGTTTTTGTTGTTGTTGTTGTTGTTGTTTTTAGTTTATGCCTGTTTTGATCTAGAAAGGATCTGAAAAAAAAATGAGGATGAGGAAAATTATATTTTTTTCAAGTGGAAGTCAGGACCAAGAATGGGAAATAGAATCGGAATGTTTCAGGTCATGACACTTTGTCAATCTATTTGAGCACCAAAGATTTTGCCCTGAGTGTCCTAGCAACCCAAAGGCAGAGGGAAAAAGAGCCAGTTCCATAAATCTTTCTGTCAAAGAGAAGGAGAAAACACATAATGTTCTTTAGAAAAAAGACTACTTTTTCCTAGTATTGTATTGTAAAGAAAATTTCCCATTGGAGTTACTTCAAACAAAGGTTTATGTGTTGAACCTGCTTCGTTGGATATAATGAGGCCTAAAAGGCCTTGGAGAGTCCCTCTATAAAAGATGGAAGTATAAATCAAATTCCAGCCAGAGGAAGAGCATAGGATGACACTTGGGACAGTCATCCCTGTATCCTCCCTGGTGGACATTGCTGATGTCTGGGCTTGAGTCAGCCCAGCGTAGGGATGTCTTGACCAATACCTCAACCCCCACGTCTGACACCAGCAACTGGCAGTAAGATTTACAGTGCTCCCCACTGCTCTTCCAAGCAAGTCCTTCCAACCCCCTTACCATGACCTGCAGAGACCAGCATGATCTGGCTCCTGCCCACTTCCCAGACTCCACCTCCCACCCACTCGGCACCACCACACTCCAGCCACACTGGCCTTTGGGAAGGGAGCCAATCTCTCTCCCACCTCCAACCCAGTGTGTTTAGTCATTCCATGGACAGGGCTTTCCTTCAGCTTTTCACATGGTGCCTGCCTCCTGATTCTTTGGGGCTCAATTCCTCCCATGGATCTGCCCTGCCCACCCCTCGAAATGAGGCCTTGCCTATCATTCCCTGGCTCATCTCCAGTGTCTCTGCTCCGTGGTATGGATCACAATCTACATATTTTACTCCAGCCTTCATGCCTGTATTGGCCTCTCCCCACTAGAATGTAAGAGGGTGGGGGTCTTGCCTGCCTTGCCTCCATTGTATCTCTAGGGCCCACGGCAGCATCTGACACATAGTCGGGGCCCAATATATATTTCTGGAATAAGTGGGGGGGGGAAGGAATGCTCTCTGGGGAGAGAATGGGGGGGCAGGCTTCCCTACCTTGAATCCTGGCATAAAAAATCCCACCATTTAAGAAGATGTCCTTCCAAGGAAATCAAGGAACCCAAAACAACATTCACTCCAAGGACAGCCAGCCAATTCCAGCACATTGATAGCTCCCAGGTCCCTGTGCAGACAAGGAGGGATTTCTCTGAAGAACTAATTCTTGGTAGAGCCATGTTTGTTCTTTGCTACAGTGTTTGTCAGGGTAGACTGGGGAGCAGCACATGGAAGGATAGCAGGATTCCTTTCTTCTATCCCTTCCAATCCAATCCCCAAATAAAGTTCCCTCGGTGGGGTGAAAACATACCTCCAATCCAAAGGCACCAAAGAGTACTACATGGTGTAACAAAATAAAAAAGAGACACTGTCTGGATATGAATGGAAAAAAATGTTCTTACTTGGCCCTTTTCTGGTACCAGGGTCCACTGGCATTAATATGCTAGCTAAGGGCAGGAGCCTCTCTTGAAGTGAAGCTTCCACCCTGCCCCCCGCAGAGAGAAGCAGTAACCAGAGCGAGGCCACCCACTGCTGTCGGCAGCCCGGGCTCAACTGAGGGCTTATTATCACACTCCAGCCCTCTCTGTTCCCTTTGGTTTCCTCCTCCTTTCCCACACTCTTCCATGGCTCCAAACAGGCCACCTGGTGCCCACACCCAAATTCCTACTCTCCAGTCTGTCCTTCTCTACAGCCACCTGGAGCTAGGAACGCAACATAGAAATTTCTCCAGCTGGAGACCAGGGTGGTCAGAGGCCTCATTCCTGCTTAGCCACTCTCAAGCTGTAGGACCTTGAGCAAAACTCTTTCTTGCCTTGGTTTTAGTCATTTGCAAAATAAGCAAACTGTTCTCATTCATGTGCCACCTTCCTGATTTCTACCATTTCTTCATATTATATACTCTGTTACTTAAAACATGATTATCTAATGTTTGCCTTTATACTTACTCACATGTTAAACAGTAATATCATGGGTATGCTATGTGTATTTTTCTAATGTACATTTGAAATATATAACTATCAAAAACTGAGTCCATCTGCACCCTAAGTCACCTTGTGTTCAATTGGTCCAACACATGCACACTTTTGGGAATACTGGATTAATGACCTGATCTTTACAATAAATTCCCACAGTGCATAGCTCCACAACATAGAGGAATTACTTTTCGTTCCTGAGGACACAAACATTGTGGCTGGGATTTCAACACAGCCCTGGTGATGAATCCTCCGATTGGTATCTATGGAATCCCAAACCCACTGCTGATGGTAACAAACTCCAAAAGTGAAGGTCCTATTCTTAGCATAACTTGATTTTTCCAGCACTGAAACTCCTGTTATGTGTCATGTCTCATACTAGGTCCTTTAAAGAGAAGTGGAGAGACATAGGTTTGTCCTCATGAAAGAAAGAGCTGCAGACTAGAAGCTCCGTTCCAGTGTGGTGTCAAGGCCAAGCTCCAACTCAAGAGAGGAGACTGATTAGTGAGTCCTGGCACCTGGCACAGTGCCCAGCACACAGTGGAGACTTTCTTAGCTTGTCTGCTGATGTTCAATAATGGAGGTGTTTATTTACAAGACATTGCAGAGACATAGCAGAGACCGAGATTCCTTCTATAGAAGGGACATCACAGAAGGCTCTGCTAAGCAGGTTTTCAAAAAATGAGGCGTTCTGTTGTAAGGAGGTCCCTCCAAAGGCAGACAAAATAGCCTAAGCAAAGACCAGGAGGAGAGAGACACAGAAGTGTTGAGGTCTAGGAGTCATTAAAAAGAGCATACAGGTGGTTCTGCACGGGGAAGTGATGAGGGCCAGAGAGATCTAGATAACCTGAGCTGAAATCAAGAGTTGGATGCTTAACTGACTGAGCCACCCAGGTGCCCCTGCCCAAGATTTAATGCACCCATTATAAAAATGCTTCAGTGAGGAATTATGGTCTTGAAACAAATTAAAAAATACAGTGTCAGCAAAGAAATGAAGAATCAATGAAAATTTTAGAACTGAACAATACAATAGCAAAAAATAAAAAAGAAGGAAGCTTCAAAAGCAACCATCTAAACCAGGAGTCAGCAAACTACAGCCCACTAGCCAAACCCAGTCTGCTCTTTTTGTTAATGGTTCTACTGGAACACTCCATGCTCACTTGATCGCATACTGCCTATCATGGCTTTGTGCTATAATGGCAGAGTTTGGTATATGCAATAAAAAATATGTGGCCTCCAAAATGTAAAATATTTACCATTCTCCCCTTTACAAAAAATGTTTATTGACCCCTGATCTGAGCTACCACTTCTAGAAAGTAGAAAAAGAGAAAAACCCAAATAAAATAGAAAGAAATAATCAACATAATAAATAATAAAGGGTCATGACAAAAGTTTTCAACACTGAGCAAAATGTTCTATATCTTGACCTGAGAGATGGCTTCATCATTTTCCAAAACTTATCAAATGACACTTTTCAGATCTTTGCATTTTACTGCATGTAAAATATGCCTTCAAAATTACCTGGGTCAGAGCATACCACTTTCTCACTCACAAGTTCCCAGTGGCTCTCCATGTCACTTAGACGAAAACTCAAAGATGTTTTGGTGTCCCCCACCAAGCCCCCGCATGACCCCCTACACAAGCTGCCCTATTTGACATCACATTCAACCCTCCCTGTTCCACTCCTCTCCAACTACACTGGCCTCCTTGACACTGCTGGAAGATTCCAGCGACTCTCCTACCTCCAAGCCATTGCACCAGCTCTTCCCCCTGCCTGGCTACTCCAGGCTTTACCTCCTATAACTCTTTCAAGCCTTTGCTCAACATCCACCTTCTCAGTAAGACCTAGCCACTTAACCTGCTCTACTTTTCTCCTTATCTACAGCATCACCTTTAACACATTATATAATTTACTTATTTTTTCCTTTTTTTTTTTAAGCCTACAGCAGCCAGTATTCCCAGGCAGTCTCCCATCCAAGTATTAACCAGACCTGACCCTGCTTAGTTTCCAAGATCATATATATAATTTACTCATTATGTTTGTCATCTGTCTTCTCCCACTGTGCCAACACGTTAGAACGAAAGCAGAAAGGAGGTAAGAATCTTTTCTGACTTAGTCGTTGATGTATCACACCTACTTAAAATAGTACCACAAACACTTAGACCAGAGACACTTAGTGGATGCTCAAGAAATGAGCACTAGGTAAATGTTGTGAAGACAATTTAAGTAATGCAAAGTGTATATAACCTTTATGTGAATATGGCAGAGCAAAAAACACAGGTCCTTTACCCTTGGCATTCTCTCCTTGTTCCTTGTCTCTTTGCATCTTGACCTCATACTTAGAGCACACACCCTGAAAACCTACATTCTCTGACCAAAAAAAAAAAAAAAAAAAGTTGCTAATAAAACATGACAGCAAGCACGTTTGCCAGCTGGTATCCTACAGGATTCAGGGCATCTCCAAAATGGGAGAGTGACTGCCTTCTCCCAAAAATGGGGGGTGACCATACATGTTATCACCTCCACTTGAATGGCCTCCACTTGAGCCAGTCTTTGATTTGAACAGCTCTATCTACAGTAACTGCTACTATTAGATCATTCATTTTCAGCACCTGATAAAAAGCAGTCAAGAATATGAGGTGCGATTACCAATTTTTACAATTCAGTACTACTTCTTCAATTACATTGCAAAATAAGAACCAGTCGTCTCAGGTCTTGTTGTGCTGTGCCTGAATCTTTCCCTGTAACTTAGAGGGTAGAAGGAGCACTCTTCATCCTAACCAGGGGAAACTGCTATTTCTCAGTCTAGAGCACATGTTACAGAAGGTGAGCCCAAGAGAAGCCAAAAAGCTCAATGGGAAAGAACAATTACCAGCATTGACCAGTCAGTGTTCTGGTTACATTCTGGCTGTCAACTCTGATCACAGTTTGAACTCCTATCTGTGTTTACTGTTGGCATTAATGAAGGCATTTCTGCCTTTCTCAAATGTGACCGCATCTCAGCCAACATTTTCCCATGAAAGTAGTAGGAGTTAACTGTGACGGCCACCCTTTGTGCATCTGTCCAGGTCATAGGGAACTTCTACTTCTGGAAATTTTTCTCCCCACCCAGCTGCCCTTGGCCCTTTTGACTCTACATCTCAGGCTGTAGCTGCTTGAACCAAAGTGGGCATCTGACCCAAACTCCTTGGTTTTTTGTTTGTTTGTTTGTTTGTTTGTTTGTTTTTTATTATTTAAACTTTATTTTATTTTTTCAGTGTTCCAAGATTCTTTTTTTTTAAAAGATTTTATTTATTTATTTGACAGAGATCTCAAGTAGGAAGAGAGGCAGGCAGAGATAGAGGGGGGAAGCAGGATCCCTGCTGAGCAGACCCCAATGTGGGGCTTGATCCCAGAACCCTGAGATCATGACCTGAGCTGAAGGCTTAACCCACTGACCCTCCCAGGAGCCCATCCAAGATTCATTGTTTATACATCACACCCAGTGCTCCATGCAATACGTGTCCTCCTTAATACCCACCACCATGCTCGCCCAACCCCCCACCCACCTCTCCTTCAAAACCCTCAGTTTGTTTCTCAGAGTCCGCAGTCTCTCATGGTTCCTCTCCCCCTCCAATTTCCCCCAACTCTCTTCTCCTCTCCTTCTCCCAATGTCCTCCATGTTATTCCTTAGGCTCCACAAGTAAGTGAAACCATATGATAATTGACTCTCTCTGCTTGACTTACTTCACTCAGCATAATATGCTAAGTGAAGTAAGTCAAGCAGAGAGAGTCAAACTCCTCGTTTTTGAGCTGGGGTACTGGGACACTCAACGAGTTTTTGCATGCGGTTGCAGCTGAGGACATAGAGACTCAAGACCTTGAAGGCAGCTGTTTACCCACCATGAGAGCAAGCAGTCTGCAGAGAGAACAGAGCAGACACCTGAAGAAGCAAAAAGTAGGAAAGACAGAGGACTGCCTATGCTCTTGTTCATTTTCCAGTTCTCGGTTTCAGTCTTCCAGAGGCCCTTGTTCTTGGACACGATGAGCCATCTAACTGTCTTTCTTACCATGATTCATTTATGCTTAAGCCACCTCAAGTTGGTTATTGTCACAAATAAAGTTTGAGCTAAGAATTAAGGGTAAAAGTGTAAAATTACAGTTAGGGTAAAATTACAGCTAAGCAAATAAGGCTACACTGCCCCAAATCATCAAAAATGAGAACCTGACTGACTGCACCTGGGTGACTCAGTTGTTTAAACAACTGACTTGTGATTTCAGCCAGGGTCATGATCTCAGAGCTGTGAGATCGAGCCCTGCATCAGGCTCAGCATGGGGCGTGGAGCCTGCTTAAGATTCTCTCCTTCCCTCTCTCTCTGGCCCTCCCATGCCTCTCCCTTTCTGGAAAGAAAAAAAAAAACTGATTAATTTATTTACTAATTATTGTTCCCTAATTTGTATACTAGTCCTAAAAACAGTCCTAAAATTCCTCTTAAGGAATCTGATTGTATTAGCTCAATATCTGACTTTCCAGACTCCCCCCTGCTCACTATCCAATTCATCCTCCCCACTCTGTTTCTTCCCACTTGTTAAGTTATTTGCCAGATTGAGAATCCTGACCAGGTCATCAGTGTCTTTTCAATAAAACTCAGTTCCTCAGGCAACATCCATTACCTGACACCCATTTCCCATCTCTCTCAGGTTCACCCACCCAGAAAATGAAGGCCTCATGATCCCCCATTACACTTGTAACTGTGGTGTTGATGCAGGAGATCCCTGGAGCTACACTGACCAATATCACCAACAATCACATGTGGCCAGTTACATTCAAGGTAATTAAAATTAAACAACATTAGACATTCATTTCCTCAGTCACACTGGCACACTGTAATGTTTGCTGGGTACGTGTGGCTATTTACTACCATATTGAATACAGAACATTTCCAGCACTGCAGACGTGGTTACTGGATGACACATGTCTAAAGTGTCCTTCTTTCTCCCTCCTCTACTTGTCCAAGCCTGCTCATCCATTCAGGTCACAATTTTCAAGGCCACAAACTTTCCACATGAAAGCCATAGAGCCAATGAAGTGAAATTCGAGCCTTTCATTTTATCTTCTCTTGGTAGTTGCTATGACTGAATGTTTGTATCCCTCCAATGTTCATACAGCAAAATCCTAATCCCTAGTATGGTGGTCCTAGGAGGTGGGGCATTCGGGAGGTGATGAGGTCATAAGGGTAGAGCCCTCATGAATGGGATTAGCGCCCTTATAAAGAAGCCTGAGAAAGTTCCCTGCCCCTCCCACCTCTTGAGGACTCAGCCAGGAGATAGCCAGCTGCAAGTCAGGAAGTGGACCTCACCAGACACCAAATATGCCAGCATTCTGATCTTGGACATTCCAACCTCCAGAACTCTGAGAAATAAATGTTTGTGATTTAAGCCCCCCAGTCTATGGTATATGGTTATAGCAGCCCAAACAGATTAAGACAGTAGCTAAGCATCCACGTTCTAGATCCTGGCTAGAAATCTCTCCACTGTTACTAGCTTTGTGACACTGAACAATTCACTTAGACAGTTTCTTCATCTGTAAAATAGAGATTAAAATAGTACTTTCTAGGCTGCATTACTGTAAGTATTAAATGAGTTATCCATGTATTAATGTACAGTACTAATATATGCAAAGGTTTCCACCAAAGCCTGTCACAAAGTAAGCTCTCATTTAGTGCTGGTGGTGGCAGTGCTGGTCTAGTATCATTGTCTAGTTGGGCTCCCCTCAACTCCCCTCCAGACTCATTCCTTGAATAAAGGATGCGAGTCTAATTCATCATTCCCAGGATGCCTAGCATACTTCTCGCCAAATAGAAGATATGTGAATCTGTTTTTAATGAATGATTTTAGAAATGACTTAGTAAAGTAATGCACAGATGAAGACTTAGAATAGGAACAGAAGAATGAATGTACAGAAATAATCAAGATAAATATGGAGAATCTAAGGCTCATCAAAGCTCAGATCTAATTTAGACAGTGGCATTTTAAAAAGCTTCTTCCTGAAAGGTCCTTGCTCCTAGCACCTGACATATGTGGAAATGCCACAGCTGACACCTACAGCTCTGTGGTAATTGCCAACAACCAGCAGGACTGTGTGTCTGATACCCACCAGCAGATACCTGCTTCTGCACACTGTTGCCCTCAGGAGTGGGAAGGAGATAAACTGTGTGCAGTCATGGGTTGGGGGACTGGCTCTGACCAAAAGCGGCCTGCTCTCCACTCCTCCGCTTCCCACGGCTGGCTCAGGCAACTCTTCACTTCGATGGGCAGGAGCCACGGGTCTTCATGCCCAAGACTCAACTTGTCTCATGGCTCAGCCTTCAAAGGCCTTAGTTTCTAAAGAGTCCCAAACCTCTTCAGAATGAAGTCCTATTCACAAGGCATGACTGGGAAAGGAGGGGAAGGGGAAGGAAAAGAAAGGGAGGTGAATCCCTGGGGTCCAGATTCCCTCCCAGGCCTGTGCACCTACCAGAGTTTTCACCCCTTCAGCATATGCTCTCTTGATCATAAATCAATTGGTAAATAAACTAAGACACTCAAAAGCCCACAGAAACCCTCTTACTCTGTCCTGCCACTAGGGAGGCATGAGATGTGACTACAAGGATATCCCAAATTGTCACTAAGATCTAGAGGCTATGAGTAGGAGTGCTGACAACATAAAAAATCTAAAGATCCACTAGATTAATCGACTCACAAATCTGTTCATGGAACTGTTCTAGGGGCTGGAATAATAGCAATTAATAAACGAAGGTATCTGGTCCCATGGAGCCCGCCCTTTCTTCCTTCCTTCCTTTCTTCCTTCCTTCCTTCCTCCCTTCTTTCCTTCCTTCCTTTCCAGAATATCTATTGATCACCTACTACATGCCAGATGTCATTCTAGGTGCCAGGAATATATCTATGAACAAAATAATTCATGAAACTTATGTTCTAATGGAAGAGTCAGACAGTAAGTAAGTGAATTCTTTAATATTAGAAAATAAGTAAATAATATAATCTTGGAAGGTAATACATGTGTGGAAAAAAAAAACAGAGCAGATTGAGGAACAATTTGAATGACTGTGGTGGTAGGGGGCACTCACTGTGATTTAAATTAGGTGCTGAGGGAGTGAGTCATGAAAATACCTGGAATAGGAGCACAGCAGACAGAGAGAAGGCTATGCAAAGGCCCTGAGGTGCATACAAATTTGAAATACTATAACAGTGTTCTCAAAGTGTGGTTTGGTTTGTTTGTTTGTTTTTTCCTACTAAAGTGTCTGCTCCAAGATTTTGATGTGGCTGCTCCCTCCATGTGGAGCTGGGGTGTTGAGCATGTCAGATACAGAATCTCCATCATATCTTCTTTCTTATCTAATTTTATCCTCAAAATAGCCCCTCCACATGAAATCACTTACTACTTCCAAAGTGCTGTTGAACCCACAGGAAACCATGTTCATCCAGAGTTCAGTGCCAGTGTAGCGTGTGGTAAAACATAACCTCTGGTCCTTTCTCAGTATTCTTGTTGCACAGGAAAGAAAAACATGGATTTGTTGAAATGGCCAAGATAATACTTTGGTAACAAACACCCTTCCATCTCATTAACCTTCCCCCCATCAATAAAGTTCATTGTGGATTCAGATGACTCCAGGGTGGATGGCCTCAGACATGAATCCTGCCTCAACCTTAAGGAAGGCCCATCTCACTGGATGCTTCCAGTATGGGCACAGCTGTGGAAATGAGCGCAGGAGGGTCTCACACTGGTGGCTAAATGCTTTAGCCTGGAAGTAACGCTCTTTTCCTGTGCTTACTAGAATGTAACTTTGTGGCTCCCCAGGCCCGAGACTGGAGAGTCTGTGAACAGCAAAGTCTTCCTTGGTAGACAAGATCCCAGGAGAAACAAGTATCTTTTGACAAATCTTGCATAGACAATCATAGTGCTCAAACAGAAGACTTGGAAGGAGATTTCATTGTAAATATATGCTCTGTAAAGTGGAAGCCTGAACCCCAAGGGATGTATGCTTTTCAAGAATTCCCGAAAGTTCATGTCTTGCTGTTCACGAAGAGCCCTTTCACTTGAACACAAGTGGATCAATCTACATTTCCTGCTTTCCATCAGGCTGCTTTGAACCCCGCTGTGGTGACAGGGTAGCATGGAGGAAGACCACTGTGTTTTGGAAAACAGAGTCCTGAGCTCAAGACCAAACGACCCATTCTAGCTGTGTCACCAGAAGAGAGCGGCTTGGTTTACTTATGAATAAAACAAGGATGAAAATATTATTCATGCAAAGTTGAATGAAATGAAATGAAACACAGAAATAGCTACCGTGGTACCCAGTTCCTCCCAATCCATCCTGAAAATCTCCACACAGTGTCCCCTGTGTACCTGAGAACACAAAGATTGTTAGTTGGCAACAAGGTCCTCTTGGCTGAAGGACAGTCTCTCATGTCATCTTCTCCTATAGGGCCTGGCCAGGTGACATCTCTGCCACTTCCCACCCCAGAAGCAGGAGACCCCTGCACTGGCCCCCTCCTGGCCTGGGGAGGTCTAAGGTAGAAGAAAATCTACCACTGACCTGGCTTTTTCTCTTTAAGTGACATCTTTCAAACATTTCAGGGATGTGCAGTGAAGATTATTGTTCTGAGCTTCTGAGTCGCTTAGTCAGTCAAGCATCTGCCTTGCGCTCAGGTCATGATCTCAGAGTCTTGGGATCAAGTCCCACATCAGGCTTTCCACTTCTCCCTCTCCCTCTGTCCCTTCACTGTTTGAGCTCTCACTCGCGCTCTCTCTCTCTCTCAGACAAACAAATAAAATCTTTAAAGAGAAAAAAAAGACTATTATTTTATTGTTACATTTTACTTCCTTCAGACACCAGCAAGAGTCCGCAGCAGGAGGCAGATCCAGAAGACGAACCAAGTGCTAGATACCATGCTCTCCTCATCCCTCCCACCACACCTAATGTCCTCAGAAAACAATGTACATTTTCATTTTATTTTCCATTGAGGTGCACTCTTTCAGGCTAAGTGGAAAAAATTAAAATTAAAAAAAGAAAATCTAAGCTCCAATAGAGAGCTATGTTAAATATATATGTAAGAAGAAAACAAGAAAATATTCCCTGGGCTTATGTGTGGGTAATGAGACTCCCTTGTTCAACAACTACCAACTGAGTGTCTTCTAGGTGCCAAGTAGAGTCCAGGCACTAAGGATACAGCCTTGAACACATTAGGCAAACCAGTCTACCTTCATGGGATTCAGTGGGGGGAGACAAACAGCAAAAGCAAAACAAGTAAGATACACAGTCTATCAGATGCTGATGAGTGAACGCCATGATGACACGTGAAGCAGAGATGGGGGACGGGCAAGTCTCACAAGGTGGAGGCAAGGGCAGTTTGAAACACAGTGTTCACTCATACAGAATCCCACTGACCAGACAGCATTTGAACACAGGCCCCAAAAGGTAAGGGAGTAGCCCAAGCCCAGTGGAGAATTTGAAACTCCTCCCTCTGGGGACTCAGCCCTCTCTCCCTCAAATCCTTAAGAATCCCATTTGTCTTCCAAATACTACCACCAACCAAGATTTTGTTAAACTCCACTTTCAGGAATCACATTAACAAAACAATACCCAGATTATTTGACCATAGAGTTGAGGGTCCATATCTGGGCTCTCTACTCTGTTCCACTGGTCTATGTGTCTGTTTTTATGCCAGTACCATGCTGTCTTGGTGATCACAGCTTTGTAGTAAAGCTTGAAATCAGGTAACGTGATGCCGCCAGTTTTATTTTTGTTTTTCAACATTTCCTTAGTGATTCAGAGTCTCTTCTGATTCCATACAAATTCTAGGATTATTTGCTCCAGCTCTTTGAAAAATGCTGGTGGAATTTCGTTCGTAATGGCATTAAAAGTATAGATTGTTCTAGGCAGCATAGACATTTTAACAATGTTTATTCTTCCGATCCAAGAGCATGGAATGGTCTTCCATCTTTTTGTGTCTTCTTCAATTTCTTTCATGAGTGTTCTGTAGTTCCTCAAGTACAGTTCCTTTACCTCTTTGGTTAGGTTTATTCCCAGGTATCTTATGGTTCTTGGTGCTATAGTAAATGGAATCGATGCTCTAATTTCCCTTTCTGTATTTTCATTGTTAGTGTATAAGAAAGCCACTGATTTCTGTACATTGACTTTGTATCCTGCCACGTTGCTGAATTGCTGTATGAGTTCTAGTAGTTTGGGGGTGGAGTCTTTTGGGTTTTCCATATAAAGAATCATGTCATCTGCAAAGAGAGAGAGTTTGACTTCCTCATTGCCAATTTGGATACCGTTTATTTCTCTTTGTTGTCTGATTGCTGTTGCTAGGACTTCTAATACTATGTTGAACATAGAAGAGTGGTGAGAGTGGGCATCCTTGTCGTGTTCCTGATCTCAACATGAAGGCTGCAAGCTTTTTCCCATTGAGGATGATATTTGCTGTGGGTCTTTCATAGATAGATTTTATGAAGTTCAGGAATGTTCCCTCTATCCCTATACTTTGAAGCGTTTTAATCAGGAATGGATGCTGGATTTTGTCAAATGCTTTTTCTGCATCAATTGAGAGAACCATGTGGTTCTTTTCTCTTCTCTTATTAGTTTGTTCTATCACATTGATTGATTTGCAAATGTTGAACCATCCTTGTAACCCAGGGATGAATCCCACCTGGTCATTGTGGATAATCTTTTTAATGTGCTGTTGGATCCTGTTTGCTAGGATATTGTTGAGAATCTTAGCATCCATATTCATCATATCCTTCAACTCTATGGTCAAATAATCTTTGACAAAACAGGAAAAAATATATAGTGGAAAAAAGACAGTCTCTTCAATAAATTGTGCTGGGAAAACTGGACAGCTATATGTAGAAGAATGAAACTCGTCCATTCTCTTACACCATACACAAAGATAAACTCAAAATGGATTAAAAAACCTCAACGTGAGACAGGAATCCATCAGAATCCTAGAGGAGAACAAAGGCAATAACCTCTTTGATATCAGCCACAGCAACTTCTTTCAAGATATGTCTCCAAAGGCAAAGGAAACAAAAGTGAAAATGAACTTTTGGGACTTCGTCAAGATCAAAAGCTTCTGCACAGCAAAGGAAACAGCCAACAAAACAAAGAGGCAACCCACGGAATGGGAGAAGATATTTGCAAATGACAGTACAGACAAAAGGTTGATATCCAGGATCTATAAAGAACTCCTCAAACTCAACACACATAAAACAGACAATCATGTATAAAAAATGGACAGAAGATATGAACAGACACTTCTCCAATGAAGACATACAAATGGCTATCAGACACATGAAAAAATGTTCATCATCACTAGCCATCAGGGAGATTCAAATTAAAATCACATTGAGATACCACCTTACACCAGTTAGAATGGCCAGAATTAGCAAGACAGGAAACAACATGTGTTGGAGAGGATGTGGAGAAAGGGGAACCCTCTTACACTGTTGGTGGGAATGCAAGTTGGTGCAGCCACTTTGGAGAACAGTGTGGAGATTCCTCAAGAAATTAAAAATAGAGCTTCCCTATGACCCTGCAATTGCACTACTGGGTATTTACCCCAAAGATACAGACGTAGTGAAAAGAAGGGCCATCTGTACCCTAATGTTTATAGCAGCAATGACCACGGTCGCCAAACTGTGGAAAGAACCAAGATGCCCTTCAGTGGATGAATGGATAAGGAAGATGTGGTCCATATACACTATGGAGTATTATGCCTCTATCAGAAAGGATGAATATCCAGCTTTTGTAGCAACATGGACAGGGCTGGAAGAGATTATGCTGAGTGAAATAAGTCAAGGAGAGAGAGTCAATTATCATATGGTTCACTTATTTTTGTGGAGCATAACAAATAGTATGGAGGACAAGGGGAGATGGAGAGAAGGGAGTTGAGGGAAATTGGAAGGGGAGGTGAACCATGAGAGACTATGGACTCTGAAAAACAACCTGAGGGTTTTGAAGGGGCGGGGGGGTGGGAGGTTGGGGGAACCAGGTGGTGGGTATTAGAGAGGGCACGGATTGCATGGAGCACTGGGTGTGGTGTAAAAACAATGAATACTGTTACGTTGAAAAGAAATAAAAAATTAAAAAAAAAACCAATACCCAATACGTTGTTTTGTTTTTTAGCATTCCAAATATAGAAGTATGTTATAATATCAAACAGCCTTTTTTGAATCTAACAGTCACTGCCCAGAACTTCCCATAGACAGTCTGTCCCCAAATAACTGCCTTTTGGAAGCAGCACGTACAACAGGTGATATTCCCAAGCCCACTTTGCATCACAGACATTTTGAGAATCTGGTGAATGACACAGCCAACTTCCATGTGCTTTTCCGGTTCTCTCCTTCCGGTGCCTGTGTGGGCCTCCTCCCCCCATGTGGCTCTATAAGACTATGTGTACAAGATAGGGTGAAAATGGGTGACCCAGGCTGATCAGCCAGAATGGCTCAAGACCCTAGTGCCAGGGAATGGTAAAGGCATG